TCCAGAGCATGGCCCAGAGACTCCAACCTCTAGGGACCAGCTGGCTGACCCTTCTGATCTCAGGTAAAAGTTTCAAAATTCTAACTAGTGGACATGAATACAATCTAATATTCACACAGATCATTAACTTCATACTGCCTTGCAACTGGTAGGGTTCCCAATTTGATGAATTTAATTGAACCAATTTTTTCATAAATTGGTATAGAAAAGTAATCACTAAACGAAATTTAAGCATTTTAGGTTTTAATCCTAACAATGAATTGAAATACCCATTTCATTTCCCAATATCAGTCTGTTCCTCCACTATTTACATAATAACCGCTTCATAACTTTTTGGGGTTCACACAGACACCCTCTTAAGAATCTGATCAAAGCTAGACCCGATCACCAGAAAACTGTATACAGGGTGGGGGAAAACTAGGTTTACAGTTGTGAGTACGTGAAACACCAAGTTTATCCTTTTATTATTATTTATTAATTATTGTATTATTTTCCATACGAACAACTGTAAACCTACTTTTTCCCCACCCTGTACTGAGAAATACACAGAATTTTACATACAATTTCATGTGGTTATGAGATCCCTAAAACCTGCCCATGAACCAGAGGGTAAAAATGACTGGTCCGAAAATACAAATGGGTAAGGGTAGGGGAGGCGGGAGAGCGGAAGACTGGACAAAGGGAAAAGCGGAAAGGCTGGAGCCGGGGCGAAGGAGAGGCGGGGCGCGCGAACAGGCAGCAACCCCAGAATCAGACGTGGAACTGGTGGTTCTGCACCCCACAGGCCTCTCGCCTCTTAGATTTCACTGCATCTTTACAGTAACTCTTTCAACAAAAATGTTCACATTACAGCCCACTTTAAAGAAAAGAAAACTATGATTTAAAGCGGTTAAAAGAGATGCCTAAGGTCAAACACCAGTACATGGCAGAGCCAAGACCTGGACCCACATCCTTGAAGTCTTTCAACACATCATTGGCTCCTAAGTGCAGAGAACACAGAAGAAAGACAGTAAGAGTGGGAAAGAAGCTAAGAAAAGGACGACAAAGGAACGAGGCAAGGAAAAATAACGTGCCGCAAAGATCGAAAAGGGAGGCAAGAGAACAGAGGTAAGATGAGAATGCAGGCAGGCGACAGTAGGGGAAAATAAGGACTCTGTCGTCTTGGACAAAAAACTGTGTTCCAACTTCCAGCTGGTTATAAAAAGGAAGAAAAGCTCTGCTCGCAAACCTCAAAACCTAGAAAATTATAGGATACTCATCAAAATTATGAAAATAGCAAAGAAAGGACAACTCAAGTTGAAAGGGGTAAATAAAGACATAAACAACCCCCTCGCTCCCCCCAAGAAAGGAGGGGGCCAAGGCCTCCTGGTGCTGTCGGAAACGGTGTGGCACGGAGCCCCACGGTTAGGGCACAGGTGACAGAAGTGCCCTCAGCTGCGTAGTATTCCACGGTGTAAATGCCCCGCAGCTTTTTTATCCACTCATCTCCTGATGGGCACTTGGGCTGTTTCCAGATCTTAGCTATTGTAAACTGCGCTGCTATGAACATAGGGGTGCATATATTCTTCCTGATTAGTGTTTCAGGATTCTTAGGATACATTCCTAGGAGTGCAATCATCTCATACCCTTTGGGACAGTGTGGATGGACCTGGAGAAAATTATGCTAAGTGAAATAAGCCAGGCAGAGAAAGAAAAACATCACATGAACTTGCTTATATGTGGAATCTAAAGAGCTTAATAAACTGATGAACAGAATAGATTCAATGCCATGGAAGCATAGATGAGACCGACGAATGTCAGAGGGAGGGAGGAGGGCGGGTGGGTGGAGAGGGAGAGAGTAACTAAAGAATTTATATGCATACATGCACAACCCAAGGACACGGACAATAGTGGGGAGAGGGACTGGGGAGGGGGAGGGGTGGAACAGGTCATTGGGGAGAAAAAGGGATCTTTTAAACAAAAATAAAATTAAAAAAAAAAAAAGTGCCCTCACGCACTCGTCAGCTCTGGACCCATAGGTGAGAAAGGGGTTGCTCATCCTCAGCCATATTTTTCTAAACCTGAAACTAAATAAGAATCCTTGTTTCTAATGTGAACCTTCCAGAGTGATGCAGATTAGGACTTTTTTAAAAACAGTTGTTAGAAGCCACAGCTACTGCTTTAGATAAAGTTGATTTGTAAACACTGTTTTATTAACTTTCGTTTCTCCTCACACAAAATGAGAGATGTTTAAATTGTTATCCAGGGAAACGGCAAAGCAGCTTAAGCTCCAACGGGCAGACGTTGTGAAAAAACAGTATTTCCAGAATGGCAGGAACCTAACAGGAAAGACTTCCTGTGCTTAAAAAAAAAAAAAAAAGATCCAATGTTGGTCCTTTCCTTTACCATGACATCTGCCATAACTGCACCTAGCAGTGGATGGAGTGAATATTTGTTTGTACCGATCACAGCAGATGGCAGAGTCCTAAGTATACAACAGGTGCTCAATAAATGCCCACAGTTCCACTAGACACATCATGATGGGCTTCAAAAGCGAGACAGAAAAGCAAACCTGCACAGCCTTTGCCCCCTGCCCCAGGCGACAGCCCCGGGGAGGCAGGGAAGCAGGGCGTCAGGGGCAGGCTCCGAGTCTCAGGCCTCGCCGCAGGGAGCAGGGCACCAGCCCGCTCCAGACGCAGTCTGCCCGCCCCAGGGCCCCAGGGTCCGAGTCCTCCGGTGAGAGCACAGAGGACTCTGGAGAGCCTGCCTGGGTCCCACTGCGTCTGGGATAAGGAAGGACGGACGACGCAGAAAAGATTTATCCTTTCCCCCAGACAGAGGCTTCTCCACAAGTAGGAAGTCAGACAACAGGCGACGACCTCCACCACGGACAGGAGCCGGATCAGGACCATCGGCAGGGCTGCAATGTAAATAAGCAGGCCTACACATCCGATGCAGACCTTGCAGGCTATGGCAAAATGTGAACGGCTAACGGGAGGGAGGGTTCTCGGCAGCACAGATAACATAATGAGTAGGTGGCCCCTGGACGCAGCCTGTGTTTGCAGCCTCTCCTGCACACTCACTGTCGCCTGCTCCACGAGAAGTTGCAGGAGTGGGGACTGGAACGGAAAGACATGTTTCTTCCTCTGCCCACGTTTTGCTGTGCCTGCCCCTGAGATCTAGACTCGAGGCTTCATCTTCTACAGACACAGGCAGCTTATGAAATCCCGGGGCAATATTTCTGGAGGGAAAATGAGTCTGAAAGCCACTGTGTCAGAGTGTGTTTTGAAACTGATTTCTCATTAAAAAGCACATTGGCATTTAAACACTCAGAACCACCATCATTCTAAAATACACAACTTAAACAGTACAGAGAACTCCAATCTAAAAAACTATGCGTGGGGTGGGGTGGGGGAGAAAGTCTTGAGGGAGAAAACACCGACAAGGAATATTGAAGCCAGTGCAATTAGATCAGTAATGAGCTATTTAAGGATTGTTGGCAAACCTTAAATAGTGTTTCATTTTGAACAGTAAATGTCAAGGTGAGTGTTTTTAGCCCCCAAAGACATTTTTTGAACAGGCCACCTTCTGAGAAGACTAGAGCACCTACGAATGTAACTTAAACTACACCAAGCAAAACAGAAAGTGTATTTCTCAAGATACTGGCTTCATCAATAAGTACAAATGGGGGAGAGTAGAGTCGGGGGTTTTTTGTTTTGTTTTGTGTTGTTGGTGAAGACTGAATTTTAGAGCAGGAGAGGGGACCTCAGGGAGAGCTACCCTCCACACTTGGGTTTTACAGATGAAGAAACTTAAGTCATTTCCTTGAGAAGTGTTATAACACATTGAGATCTCACCTCTATGTAGTGTGATTCCAGCCCCCAAGAAGGGCCCACAGAGAAAGCTTCCCTAGGCAAACGGTCCACTCTCACAATGCCGTCTGGAATATGATTGCACAGGCTTTGTAGTCAGAGAGGGAGGCCGATTCAGTGTGTGCCAAGCACAAGGCTCCAAGTACTAAAGAAGGACCTTGGAGATTATCTCATCCAACTTCCTCATTTTACAGAAGAAAAAAGATGACCCAGAAAAGCAAAAACAACCAGGACAGAGTTCCACACCAGGTGAGGATGGGTTTCCAACAGTAGCACTACTGACATATTATTGGACCAGGTATTTTTTTGTTGTGGGGGGCTGCCCTGTGCATTGTAGGGTATTTAGTAACATCCTGGCCAGTAGCAATTCTGACAATCAAAAGTGTCTCAAAACATGGTCAAATATCCTCAGGGAACAGAGGGGGAGGGCAAAACTGTCCCCAACTGAGAACCACTGGGTTAGAAACTAGCACAACCAGCAACCAAATCCCTCTCCCTCCTAACCTGGCATTCTTTCATTACGCAAACACTTGTTTTCAAATAAACATGTTGCAACCAGGGAGCGCTGATTAATGCATTAAGCCACCACTAATACTGATTATATGTCAAACAATGTTATTAAAAAGCTCTTTAAAATGTGTCTTAAAGATATGAGCAAACTGCACTTCCCCATCTAAATGTATGTGCCTGACATAAATATAAACACATATTTGCATGTACATCTACATGAGGCTGAATCTATAAAACAATGAGTCCCTAATTTGGGGTTTGGCAAAATATAGTAATGTCATGTTAAAAGATACTTCAGGGAGAAATCCCTGTAACAGTAAAATTTCTTACCACCCTTAGACCCTGGGTCTAAGGGTGGTAAGAATTCACTACATGTTGTTCCTAAATAAAGATCAACTTTTTTTTTCATTAACAAAAAAACACCTCATTGGCAAGTTGTTTAATTATCTTATTATAAAGATAAGAAACTCAGTTCAAAGAGCTGAGGTTTCCTAAAATACTACTTCAAAACAGTGCCAGATCACTTCTTAAACACAGACGAGACACTCAGGCTTAAAAATACACAGGGCACCGAGTTTTTCCCACCAACAGCAGCCTCTGAGTTTGGAGTTCCAGTTAACTACAAGAGTCCAGTATTACCTGTTTCTCTTTTTCCGATGTTCTCTGTTAGAATTTTCTGATTCACTACCGCTGCTTGTGTTACAGCGTGAGCGTGACCTGAAGACAAAATAAGAGCAAAAGGAAAAAACACACATTTAAGACAAATGAAAAATTTTAGAAAGGTTCATGTTGGTTCTTTGGAATTAATTCTGTAGTAAAATGACTAATCCAAGTAGTATCCCTCCCCTCTAGTCGGTGTTTCTCAATTCAGTCAGACACCTGAATGAGTCTAAAAAAACGTGATTAAAGGCAAATGCCACTATGCTCCCAGAAAGGACCACAAAACCAAACACTTCTAAAAGAAATTGGACATAAGGCTGTAAGCCCCTGTGCTAAACTAAATATGGACACAAAGGCCTGTCAAATCTCCACCCTTCACTGAGAGAGGTAAAGCTTACTTCCCCTCCCCTTGAATTAGTGCTCGCCCTATGACGGATTTTTACCAACAGAATGAGGTGGAAGGGATACTCTCCCAGTTCCAGGGCTATCTCTTAACAGGGCTGGTAGCTCCTGCTTCCTCCCACCATCATCTAAAGAACCCTAGGCCACCAGGTGCAGAGACCATGGAGAGAGGCCCCAGCCTCCAGCAATTCTGCCAAGACGCCAGATAGAAATAATCCAACCTCAGCCACCATCCTACTGAAGCTTCGTATGAGACTAGCAATCAATAGAATTATAAAAGAAGTGTATATATATGGTTACTGTTGCTTTAAAATACACCAAGTTTTGGGGTGGCTTTTAACATCGCAATAGATAACTGAGACAGCTCCATGGTACAGTTTTTCTGAAGAGGAGGAAAAAAAAATTGCTAAGGATGCTACAGAATGGAAGACTGAGAACCAGCTGAAGCCAATTTGAACGTCAAAGAACACACTTATAATACTCTTAAAGCAGCCACTAATAAAACAAACAAAAAAGTCCCCACTCTTGCCTCAGTTCTGAGCTATGCTAATATGCTGATCCTTCCTCCCTCTCCCGACCCTCCTTCCCATTTAGGGGCTTTGTTTTTTGGGGTTTTTTTTACCTCCTCCTTTGCTTTAGATCTGAGTCTTCACCACTATTATGGGCTTTCCTATGGAAAACAAATAAATGAAGACATTAAAGAAAATAGAAAATTACCAATTGGCTAGGGAAAGCACACCAAAATGAGTTCTACTTTGCTTAATAGTATATCTGTTACATATTCATTCACTACCAAACATTTAACTCATACATATATGCCCATCCCTATAATGGGTCCCAGAAATAGACTACCAACTGGCCTCAAGAAGCCAGCAACCCAGTGGGGGCTGTAAATAGTCTATAAATAGCAACACACAACACATCTGTGAAATTCCATTCATCCAGTGACGAGGTTAGTCTGCAGTTCCTAGGTCTGCAATACGCCAAGCCAAATTTTGCCATAATCTGACATCCGCACTCACTTGGGTGCCCTTCCCAACACCCTGGCCTCCAAGTCCCCTGACCTTTTCTCTAATCTCTTCACAATACCTCAGCCCCCACATCATGGTCACACTTGGACTTTATCGGCTGTAACCACCTCTCAACACTGCTCTCTTACCACAATCTCCCCTCCCTTCCTGTTTACAACTTCTATTTACTTTCAAGCTGCTTCAGTTGGGGTATTATGCCAAACGCTCAGCAGGTTCCCTACAAAGTGAGATTATTCACTTCTGAAATATTGTCTTGCATTATTTCTTTAATAGTTTCCCCTCCTGAATTTTCTTGGGTTTTTGCCTTAGAAATTTCATTAGTTGAATGTTTGATATCCAGGTTTGACCATTTTTTATTCTTATTTCCATATATTTGTTTTGATTTTGCTCTACTTTGGGGAAGATTTCCTTAACTGTATCTTCTAAACCTTCTATTGATTATTTTTAAAATTCTGCCACATTGAAGTCTAAGAACTCTTTCCTTTTCACTCTTTCCTTTTGATATCAAATTTTTCATTTTCCAAAGATGATTATTACACTTTTAAGAAAAGTTTTGTTTCTTATATTGTCTCCATTTCCTGTGAGTACCCCGTCTACACACACACACATCTCCTAATTGTTTCAGTCTCTGTCTCTTCAAACAGAAATTATCCTCAAATGCCAGGTCATAATGGCTCTCTCTCAAGCATTGTGCACTAAAAGGACTGGAACCCTCTGGATGGGGACCATGTTAACTGATGGCTTCACTGTCATGTGGAACAAAGTAATGTGCGTAGTCTCAACCATTTCACTGGGGAATCCTTGGCAAGTTTCTATCTGTCCATCTTTTTTATTGAATCTGTCCATTTCTGACAGTGAGATTCTCTAATCTCATGCCTGGGAGATATAAGCCTGGCTTCTAGCACTCTGGGAATGGACAGAGAAGGGAGCCATTTAGTAAGCAGATTTTCACTCTCTTGCTTTTTTCCTATGGCCACAATTTCTGTCTCTTTTACCAAGCTAATCCTCTTCAACTACGCCAAATAAATGCTGGAGTTTCTCACAGCTCTGTCATTGGCTTGGCCTTTGCATTCTATCTACACTATCTAGACAGCCTCATCTCTATTTCATATTTCAACTAACATACTGAAGAAATTTATACTTCAGTCGAGACAGCTAATCCAGCTCCTGACTTATATCCAACAATCCACGGGAATCCTGCACTTGGACTTCTCAAAGGTACAACAAATTCCACATGCCAAAACCCAAAAAGTTGCCCCTTTCAAGCCTGTAATATCCTGGTGATTCTCACTTCAGGGCATCACACTTTATAACTGCACAAGCCTGGTCTTCATTCTTGACATCTTTTGCTCCTGCACCTTCATACTCAGCCTACCAGCCCTACCGATCTTATCTCGGGATGGGTTTTGAAACCACAAACTTCCTTATACCTCCGTATCCCCACGTTGGCCCAAGCCTCCATTCTCTTTGGCCAGGACTCGTATGATAACCTGTTGCCTGGTCTCTGTTTCCACCATTCCCTCCACCTTTTCTCCACAGAACAGTAAGGGCCACCTTTACACAATACAAATGTGACCTTGTTACCATCCCTTCTGAAAACGACCGGCCTAATGGCCAAAATCCTCAACAAAGCTCAGGTATCTTATGGGGTCTGGGCCTCATGCTTCTCACTTCTGGCACTTTTCTGTTCCCTCTCAATGCTTGAGCCACACACACCTTTTATTCTTTTCGTAAATGTTCTGCTCTCCCTTCTTTCCCGAGGCCTCTGCACACGCTGGCCCCTCTACCTCTCTTTGCCTGCTTTTGTCGGATTCCAGCCTCGGGGAACCCTTCCTCACCTCCTTGACTCAACAACTCAGCAAAACCTCCCCTAAGAGTGCTGGTTACACACGTGTTTGGATGGTAAAAGTTTATCAGGCAGTTATTCTTAGAACACATGTACTTTTCTTTATGCGTGTTAAATTTCAATTAATTTTTTAAATTCCCCTAAGCATAACTCCCCCCGCAAGAACATATAACAGTCATAATTGTAAATACATTTGTAATCCATATACTTCTTCCCCAACAAACTGTAAACTCCCAAAGGTCACAGACTTTCTCTAATGTTGTTTAACATAGTGCCTGGCATAAAGTGGGTACTCAATAAACATTTTTTATAATAATCAATGGGGGTGAAGATAAATTATATTGCCAGAAAGCGTGCTGCCTTTCTTTTTCTAGAACAGGAATGTCCAAACAAGCAGGCATCAGGGTTACCGTGAACCTTGAAAATTATAAGGAAGTTTGTATGTGTAATTCATAATATAGTTTGCCCCCCTAGGGAATGAATCCAACATTAATCAGATTCTGAGTTCTATCACCCAAAAAGGTTAAGAACCAATGTTCTAGACTCTGCCAGAATTTGATAGCTGTTTTCACCTACCGACAAACAACTGGCAAAATACGAAATGTTAATATCTTTTGCAAAACATGTTATCCTGGTATCCATTACAGAAGAGAATTTCCTATTATTAAATTCAAGTCCTTGTGATTCTTCCATGCTGATGACAAATCCCGGTTTCAAATGTCAGAGTTAACCATCTATGTAGGGGTTTGTGCCCAGGGGCAAGGTAAGTATATGTGAAGATAAAACAAGACTAACAAGGGCAGGGACATTTATACATTTCTAAGGCATTTCTAGTGAAAAGAAACAAAGCTTTGGCTCATCCATGCTGTAATCTCCTCTAAACACACATGCTGAATAAGAGACCTTTCAAGTGACACACAGAACCAGACAGAAGGCTCTATGGCTGCTCAGACAAAACCAAAGTGGTCTTTTCCCTGAATGGTGCCAATGAAAGGATCCTGTAACCACTCACCACAATTACTTCTCTGTATTTCACAGGAAGCCAACAGAAAAGGCATCTCACTATAGAAGTCATCAGTCTGGATTTGAGAATGTATATGCTCCAAACTATTTCAAGCATTCAGTTTGAAAAGAAATGTAAATTCTGGTGTATTTCAGCAAATGAACTCGATAAGTTCATTTTTTTAATATATTAAAATCAAAATGCCCATCTGCTCAACAGATGTAATTCTTTTATTTAGGGAATGATGACAAAATACACTAATAAGAATGAAAAACTGTAAAAACCTGTCTAACAATAATCAGTGCCAAATTCTTACTATATGCAGTGAATCCCACTACCCACATCCCTCAACACACATATACACATAAATGCCCTTTAAAGTGTTTCCCAGGGGTGTTGCCATGGTTTTAAGTATTGTCCTAACTGAACCAATCTTTGGTAGGGAAGGAAGGCAGAAAAGCTTTCCCCCTGCCGTATATAAATGACAGTTCATTATCCCTGCCTTTTTCAGATGTACAGACCTGGATCTAAATCCCAGATGTACTACAAAGGACAGTTCCTGTCATCTCCGGGAGCCACAGTTTCCTCATCTATAGAAGTGAGATGATAATGCTGGGCCAGGTCCTGTCCACAGGGACTCACTCCATCCCAACCCATCTATAATCCCCCCTGCAGTGCCAACACTAGACATCTGACAATTACATTTTTCTGGACTCCTTTGCCAGCTGGGTTCCACTGAGAGACACTCCGGTGAGATTTGGAGGCAGGGGAAAAGGGGAAGCAGTCGTGCTTCTGGCAGCACCTGTGGCACCCACTCTTGCACTCCTGAGAAGGGGGGCTCCACAGCATTAGCTACGGTGGTGGCACCTCCAGCAGCGGCAGACAGCAATGTCAGCAGCAAGCACAGGCTTGTGGGAGCCAGCTCAAAGGCAGAAGCCGCTCTGGATCTCTGGGTAACACCCCCTGGTCTCCTTTCATTCCCCCAGCCCAGGGGAAGGACAGCCTCTCTCTGCCTTTTGTTCCTTCAGTCCTACTTACATCTGTGCACCAAAATTCTCTGTATTAATCCCTTTCGGCTAAAAATGCCTCGTGACTGAGTGATACAAAAGCCCACTTCCCTGTGGTTATTATAAAGATCAAATGAGATAATATATAGCAAACAAGCTGCTCAGTACTTACAACATGATAAATGCCAACTATTATTCTATCTAATCACTGTTGGTCATGATTTCTCGTCCCCTTTTCAGTCCTACTAGGTGAAGGTGATATAGACCTTTCTCTTCTTAACCGTCAAAGGATTTCAGTGAAGTTGGGCATGGTTTGAGAAAGCTGGGGAGTAAGACTCTGGAAAATGGGCAGAAGCAGAAGCAATCAAACAGGGATGGACCAGCAAGTAAGCATAAACAGGGCAGAGAAGAGAGAAGGGCTTCTGCTTTCCAGGCCCACAGTGTAAATAAAAGGAATCTTGATGGTTACCTGAGAGCATGACATGGCCAGAATGTCTCATAATTATAAAAATCACTCATAAAATGCCACTTATGTAGGTACCCAGGGTAAAACACAGCCCTCACCACAGAGGAATGAAATGGATTTCACTGGTGAGTCATTTCTAGGTCTTCTTCTCTTAGATCTGTCGCATTGGCCGGCCTGCTTTGCAAAGAGAGTCCCAAACTTCTAGATATGGACTTTTAAAAAAAAATTAAATAGTACACACATGCAAATATAACCACACAAATAATCTAACCTGCTGGGTAAACTGTTAACAGGATTCATTTCCTCTGTGCTTTGAAAGGAGTTCGCTCACATTTATACAACTACATATATCAGTCTGGAGAGCAGAGCACACACCCTCAGCTGAGAGGCATCTATAATATAATTTTGTCTTCTCAGGCAGAAACTTTAATATTGCTTATGTACTACTGATATATATCAACATATGTTATATAATTTATTACACATACTATGTAATATATATTGTTAAAATATATATGATTTTTTTAAACTTATCAGTCTTAACTGCAATACAGAAAGCAAGTTCCTATTAATATTTTTGAAATTATTCTCTGGCTGTTTAAAAGAAATGCTTCAGGATCCCTACCTTATTTTACCTCAGAAAACATAAGCTTTCTGTTATCTTGGGGAGATAAACCGTCATGATATTATGAGGATAACCTGTGATAAAAAATGTGACTGGGACCCAGAGCCCCTGCTGGAAGGTTAAAATCAGGGGCTGTGCTCAGCTCACCTTCTCCTCGCTGGCTGTACAGAGTCGTTGTCGCTCCCACAGGAGGGGTTTCGGCGGCGCGCGCAGGGAAACTTCGGGGACTTGGTGCGGTCATTGGGAGAGTTGTAGAGTCCACTGGAGTGAGAGAGGAATGGTCAATAACCCCTGCAGAGCACCTGGAGGACCAACACCCTAATTCCCAAACCCAGTGCTTCCAGGGAAGCTGTCACGGCTGCACAGTTGGTCCTTTCAGGGGAATACTGGATGGGGGCAAATGGTTCTTCCTGCTGACAAGATGGATTGAAAGAAAAGGGAGGTAAGATCTGGTCACACAAATCATAAAAGTCATTATTTCGCAGGAATGGATTTGTCTCAGTGACCTTCAACAGGAAGAAATGAAGAGACACAAAGGACAGCAATAATAACAAGTTGCATTTATGATGAACCTACCACCCACCAGGCGCTGCCCGATCTCAAAGCTTTATAGTCATCATCTTAGTTCATCATATCAACCCTAAGCACTGAAGGACTATTAGGCCCATTTAACAAAAAAGAAAAAAGAAATACAGAAAGGTTCATTCAGTAGCCCAAGTAAAGTAGCTAGAAAGTGGCAGAGCTAGAATTTGAACCCCTAGGTGGTCTATACCCGAAACCACTGTAACTATACAGCCAACGAGTTATAGTGCAGGTCTGTCATTGGTTTGATAGTTATGAACAAAAGAAACCAAATATATATTTTTAGGAACAAAGGTCTTCTAGAATCAAGAGTTTTCAACTAAAATTTTTACAAGAACTATGAAATTGGAGAAATTATCATTAATATATTTCATTTTGAGTTTCCCGAAATACATAATCTTTAGAACTCTAAATTGTCATGATGACCTTCCAAGGCAGTTTCTTAATATACACTAGTTTCCCTTCTGCCTTTCCAAGAGAGAGTTTCATGTTAGGACACATCCTGTTGATCTCTCTTCAGAAGTCCCCGGTCACGCTGATGTAGGAATCTGCCTGCCTTGTCCAGAGCTAGTCCTGACCAGCCACAAAGCGGGTGGATTCCATTACTTGATGGGGCAACTGCTAACCCCTCTCCTACTGCTCTCCTTTAGAAAAATAATGATTCCCTTACCTCTGGGGGCCGTTTTCTTCCCACGGCGCATGAGGTTTGCTTCTTTGGGTATCAGGGCTGTTTTCATTCTTTGCTTTCTTAAAGCTTTAATTTTAAAAAAAAGTATGAAAACCAAATGAACTAGAAAATAAAAGTTAACTCACATCTTATTCTTCAGTAAAATTATTCAACAAATATTTAAAAATGTGTATATGTGTATATGTTTATTTATACTCATGATTCATTCCAAAAAGAATATGAAGTGGCTCCCTAAAAAAAATACACGTCTCCAGCAAGTACTACTGAGTCTCCCCTGTCCCCGGCCCGCCCCTCTTTCTTCCTGGTTTTACTAAGTGAACAGAAGCCAGGTCACCCATTGTTAAGAAACTTTCAAGAGAGTCCACCTGCAGGAGAGGAAGCAAGGGCATCCAGGCTTGCGAGGCTGGCTCCTTCTTTTCAGCAGTGGTGAGAGACCCCTGGCTCTGGATTTGGGTCTGAATCTGTGCAGGTCGCACAGCTCTGGGCAGGTTCAGGCCACCCACACTGACCTTTCCCTGCCCTCAGCTTCCACCGTATCTTGGCATCATTCTTCCAAATCAGAATGACTTTCAAATGCTATTTCCTGACCCAGGATCATCTTTCTGTCCCAAGAATGTAAATATATCTGAGTTGTTATTCCATCCTAACAGATTGTTTTAGAAACACATGGAGACACCAGGAAGGGACTCATTAGAAACCTTCGTCACCAGTTGGGGAGGGGAGGTGTGCCATCTCTCTCTTCCCGGGAGTCTCAGCTTCCGAAAATGATAGAGCTACTAAACTCCTAATGCACTTTTAACCCTGGCTTTCTGAGAAATCCTCTATATAACTGTCTTCAAATATGGTCATAGAAGGGTTCTTTGTAACAGCCAAGAAAAAGAAGAGAGAAAAAACTGGCACGGTCATTTCAAAAAATGAAAAAAAACTTGTACCCTAGCATATTATAACCACACAGGAATATAAGTCTAAAAGTATATTTCACAGAAGCACATAACTCATAGTATTAGTAGGTGTAAGTAGTAGGATTTATATATGAAGAATATGTTATCAAATTTTCTAAATAAAAGCTTACTTTTAAAATGAGGCAAAGTAATAAATATGCTAGATATTTACTACAACAGTAGAAAGTGTGCACACACGCATGTGTGTGAGTGTGTTTAATACGTCAGGAAAAAATGTGAGAAGTGAAAAGGGAGACTGAGAAAAAGTACAGCAAGATAAAAGGGGAATTGGGACAGCAGGCGGAAGTTAAAGAACAATGAAATCCTGGCAGAAAATTAACTGCATTCACCCCCTAAGCTATTTCTCATCTAAAGCTTGAGTGGGAAAAATGTGGCAGCCCTTTAAGTATCAGGCCTATTGGCAAGAATGCAATTACAAAGGAGACTGAATTCCTTCTATACATTCTAAAAAGCCTGGGATCTGAATTTCATGGAAGATTACTGATCTTCTGTTGGACTTGACCACAGCACACCCTGTACATACAGATTAAGCTGACTCTATCCACAGCTGCGAGGCTAAGGGAAGCACAGTGAACTAAAGTGTATGCAAAGGCAAAGAACTTGTCATTCCGAAGAGAGAATCCATGCAGAGTGTGTTCTCAAACTAAACCAAAGGAAATGCAATCAAAACCCTGGAAAAAAACATTAAAACTCTGAGAATCCTCATATCTTAGAATTATTTTTCTCAGAAATTATTAACAGTATTTCTCCGAGTCACAATCCAGCTGAATGAAGACACCATTATTTACAAAGATGGAGCAGGTGATCTAAGAAGTCTTTCCAGGTCATGCATTTCTGACAGTTTGGACCTTTCCATGATGTGTGTTCAGCAATCTCTAGGGAGAAAGTGAGCGGATGAAAGCTGCTCATTGTATATCTAAAACGCTGTCCCATGAACATAATTGGAGATAGGAAAAAATGTCACTGAAATTGTGTCTTAGAGAACAAGGCTGATCTTTCAGGGAAACAGTCCATGTAATATATTAAGAGAAGGTTTTTCCACTGGGGAATGCTGCTGGGAAAATTGATGCAAGGACCATGACGACTCTTCATACATATGCAATCGCTGCCTTCTGAAGCCCCGCGCCTCTAAATGCTATAAACCCTCTTTCTGGGGCCACAGCTCAGTGCACCGCCATAATGAACACAGTACATTACACATGAATATCATCCACTTTATTTCACAGGTCCGTCTGCGTTCGTCCATTACATCAGGCCATTTTAAAAATCACACAGAATTTTCACTTTGCTGCCGGGAACGTCAACCACAGGTTACCTCTGAGTGCAACACGCTGTGACAGCGGGAGCGCTTCCTTCAATGAGACAGCAGGCCCCGATGCTGCATAATTCGCTGGCATTTTAAAGCGTTCTCCAGCCCCCAGACTATTTTGATCAAAAGTGCTAGTGACTTATCAAAGTGAAGAGATTCTTAACCTTGCTCACAGGAAAAACTCGTCTTTGTGGCAGCACAGAGTGTTACGGTACTTCGGTTAACTGACTGACCTTTTTATTGGTGAAGGTGCCATAATTTTAGTTGTTCCTTCATTTTCTCCATTTTCCATGTTTGCAGTTACCCGATTTATGCTGTTGGATCCTAGGAGCAAAGAGGGAGAAGACGTAAGGGAGGGGACAAAGAGACCCGGAAAACACAAAGAAGCAAGGGTTATTGTAAAATGCGATTTTAGGGATGTCAATGGCACGTTGTATCGATAAATTACAACTCCAAATAAATAATAAATCAGACAATAAATCGGAGGTGCTATTTTCCGGCATGTGAAAAAAAACACCCTCAATCCTCAACATAACAATGTCCTATGGGGTCTAGGCTATGACACCACTCTAAAACGGGACCTTTTGAGACTTTAAGAGTTTACCCCCCACATCATCAGGAAGTCTTATATATTTCGTGCTATATCTTGAAATGTAAAACCTAATAATTGATAACTACATTGTAAACAAGTTACCATTTGTTGGCATGCCATGATAGCCTCCATTCTAAAACAAAGCAAATAACAAAAATTCACACATGAAAATATTCCAAACTCATTATACAAATGGCAAAAAACAGTAATATAGATGCGGTTTGTATCACTCACACACACACAAAAAAATATTTTCAAATGTGTTTGTGCAAACATCCCTAATCACCTAAAACTGACTGCAAAAGCTGTTACTCCAAGGATTTGCATATATGCTAATGGACCAGCAGAGGGAGCCCCCAGCAGACCCGATGATGGAAATCAGGATTCAAAGAGAAGGGAAAGGGCTAAGCCCATCCAGATCCCATTCTCAGAACAGAGGCTGACAAGCCTGCAGGGTGAGCTGTGTAGGCACTAATGACAGCTCCTCTCACGTGACATGCACCTCACAGGTGGTGCAGGGGAAACCAGCGAGGGGATGCCCGAGCCCTTGTTCAGTTAACTCGGTGCTCTGCAGCTGTGTCCACCTCAGAGAGGCACCATGCAGGGCGACAGCCAGTTTGTCCTTTGATACAAAGTGTCATCTTCACTAACCACAGATGGTTTTTGAGTCATGAGATGAATTTGTAATACTAATAAGGGCTAATATTTACTGAGCACTTACTATGTGCTATTCCAAGCACTTCATTATCACTTTATTTATGTAATCCTCAAAATAATCATATGAAATAAATACAAATATTATCTCCATTTTTAAAGATTAAAAAAAGTAGGCCTTTCCCAAGTCCCACAGCTTATGGGGGGGTGCAGCTTTGAAACCCAGCAGTGTGACCCCAGAGGCAGCTCCACCTCCACCTGGCCTTCCATGTGTCCTCTGTGCCCGACCCTCAAATAGTTAAACAGTCCATCTAAATTAAGGCTCCACTGGGAGAGACAGACTCTTTAGAAAACAAGTGGAAAGAATGTCCACTGAAGAGACCATCCTACAGCCAACTCAGAGTATTTTTCCTCTCAAGGGCAACAGAGACTGAAAGACAATAAGAGAAACACTGAGCACCCCCACCCCAAAGGTGGCAATTCCTTCCAGGGCAGTTCGCAGGCATGTTGACTGTCCATCAGGAAAGGTAAACAATCGTGAATAACCCTGGACAGAGAAAACAAACAGTGGTTTCAAATAAGAGGTTCAAAAACTATTATTCTAAGGAATTTGACATGAATTCAATACCTGATGTTGGTTCCTATTTTGTAACCTTGCAAAGGAAAGGTGAACCTGAAGATACACAGGGCATTAAAGGCCAGCTCGTGCTAAAGCAACGTTCAGAACCCAGGCACTAAGAAAGAATAACATTGGGCCTACAGAAATTTCACCAGGAAAGTTCATGATAAATGGGACACCAGCAGTTCCCTTGAACTACCCCAAGTGCTATCAGGTACTACAGTGGCCAGTCACTGCCTATTTTGCCATGGCCATTAATAAAATCACAGGGGCAGAGTCCCAAAATTGCAGGCACAGATTTGAGCTGGAGCTGCTCCTGGGAGGTGGTGTGGCCTTGGGACAGTGGCAGGAGGGAGTAGTTCATTTGTGCCCATTGTTCCTAATAAATGTGTTTTTTTAATGTGGTATTGTTCTCAGCATGTATTATTAATTCATATAAATGAAAGGGAACCTCATATACCCAGGACTGTTTTCCCAGGTTGTGAGGAGGAGGCACAGCAGAGAGACCGATACCAGAGCTAATAATCCCAGTCGAGGAAGCCCCGAGTAAAGGTGAACATCACATTCACCAAAGCCCCATGTAACGAGCTTAAGAAGAAGCCTAGGTTTGCTCCAAGCCCCATCTCGTCAGGCTGACTAGTCTTTTCTTAGTCTAACAACTAATCACCTTGGGGCAAGTCAGGCTGCTTAATCACTTTCACCCTTCC